TTTTTGGGTAGTTGAGTAAGGAAATAGATTGTTAGAGTGTTTTGGAGTCAAATAAATTTGATGAAAGGGAATAAGAGTGAAAATGAGCAACAAAGAATTTTTTTTGCAGAATTAAGGGTAGGTATCGGTACCACGTCGAATAGGTACTGATACCTCTGGATAGAACATCTAGAAGACCAGAATAGTTAGGTATTGGTACCTTCTTAAAGAGGTGCTGATACCCACAAAACATAATAGTCAGGTATCGGTACCACATTGATAGCTACCGGTACCTTTGAGGTAGAACAATTAGGTACCTAAATTGCAAAATTTGAGAGTTTTTAAAAGAAAAAAACTGGATTTCATTTCATTATTCCTCACTTTTCTTCTCTCAAACACTCTTTCCCCTCCATAGAAACCCCCAAGCCATCTAAAAACTAAGATCATCCATCGAAATCCTAAGTCTCTTCGCTCAAAGCTTGAATCCAATGATCATGACAAGGATTGGTAAGTCTCCTTCTCCATCTTTTGATTTGGTTGGTTTGATTTGGGAGTGGGTTCTCCCATTCCTAGCTCCTGGGATGTTTTAGGTTTTGATGGCTCGCACAAAAAAAAGGGCCCCGCCCCAATGAAACAAGTGGTCAAGGGGTCTCAGAAGAGAGTGGACGAGATAGGACCGAGTGGTGGGGAACAAAGGAAGAAAAAGAAGAACAAGCCCCACACATAAAGCATTAGGGTGAAAAGTGTGACATGTGAGCTCTAGGTCGATGGACCCACCCTAGTGCCGATTGATGATGTTGTCAGGGCCATCGAGGGCCATGGTCTGCATTCATGGTTTTTAAGAGGTGAAGGGATATGTGCTCCCTTGTTGTCGGGAGTTTTATCAGAGGTTGGGTATGACAGATGATGAGCTTAAATTGTTGAACACCAATGTGCGAGGAAAAGAGATTGTGGTCACCCCGGTGGTCATTGCCACAACATTGCAATAACAAAGGCCTCTAACGAATAATGTTGATTTCCCCCATGGCACCCAAGGGTGGAAGCAACTCCATGAGTATGCACGCCTTATGTACAAGGACCCCGCAAAATTTAATGGCAAAATCCAAGTCGGGGGACTTAAGCGTGCTTATGAAGTGATGCACAAGGTCCTCCACTGCAATATCCCCTTTGGTTGTGGAGAAGAAGCCAGACGAGGAAAAGATGGCCATCCTCTATGAGTTTATGGCTGGCTCTAACTTGGACATTGCTTTGATGATCTGGGAGGTGATAAAGGATTACACCCAGACTACAAAGTCAAGGACGAATTTGCCTTATGCCCACTTGGTCACCAAGATTTGTCTTCAAAGTAACATCAAGGCCTACCCCATCGACATACTTTTCCCAACTGAGTTTGGCCTGATAGGTAAGCCAAGTAGCAAGAAGAGGAAGGCTATGACTAGGCAGTCCGGGCAAAGAGAGGAGAGGGCTAGGTCATCCATGACTAAGCTATCTACAGCGGGCCCATCTTTAGGCGGGCAATCTACTCCCACCCCACCTCTGATTGTTTCTCAATTGTTGGTTGGGATCAAGGGGAGATTAGACCATTTTGGGGGAACTCTGCAGCTACTGAAATTGATGACGATAAGGATTTTTAGAGGATGTTCCTGGGAGAGCCTTTCCCTGAGATGGCACCACCACTGACTACCACATAAGATATTCCACCATCGACTCATGGGACTAGTTCTGTTATCTAGCCATCCGCTCTGACCAACTCTATTGTTCTTGAGGTTACAGGGTCTAGGGATGATAAGGATGATGATGACGAGGATGGTGAGGAGGAGGATGATGGTGGAGAGGAGTAGGATCAAGGCCTAGAATGGAATAGTTTAGGATAGGAGTTACCGGCCTGGTAGACGATTCCCTAGGAAAGTAGGCCATTCTCTTTTTGTGTTCTTTGTGCTCAATGAAATTTTATGAATGAAAGAACAACATATTGTGTTAATTTTTCCCTAAGTTAATTTGCCTAATTGAAATTTGATTTGAGTATTTTGATTTTGTCCATGAAATGATTAACATGAATGGAAGTGTTATGTGTGCATTGTACTTATTTTTTTGGAAGATTTGCTAGGGACTAGCAAAACTCAAGTTGGAGGGAGTGATGAGTGTGGAACATTGTGATAGAGTTGTATACTAAAAGCTTATTTTTGTAGTGAAACTCATTTTATTAATTAATAGAATTTTGGTCTTTCCATTTTATTGAGAATCTATGTGGGCAAAATGTTTGCAATCTATTTGATATATAGTATGCACGTGTGTCCTATATTTTACATTGTAGATAATCTAGTGTTTAGAGTTTGGCTTATGCACAACAGACCAGATTATCGGATCCTTGTATAATATACATATATGTTCACAATCCTATATGGAATTGGACACACCATCAGTATGGTTGTAATGCAATATTCTGGTATAGTCTGTCTTGACTGTAAGAGACTGTTTGATGTCTTGGATTATTGCGCTAGTACACTTTGTGTATTGAACAAACCCTTGTTGAGGTTATTATATTGTAGTGATTCAATAAGATAATAAATACCTCATAATTATTATGATTGCTTATGCTCTTAATCCCGAGATATTTAATCGCCACATGCATATAATGATTGTCACTTTAATTCATCAAAGAGTGAGATTCATATTGAATTAATAAGCTCGGTGAATTGGAAGACGATGTTATTTGTATGGTAGAAATTAATTATTAAAGGAGACCATGTCCTAAAATTTAAATGGGTTAATGATGTCTTCTTGAAGAAGCTCATAAGTTTTATCTATGTCAAACCCTGCAGGTAGATTTAATTATCCGACATGACAAATAAATTGAGTGGTAAGGTCTCAAGGAATAAAAGAAGTCAATTATATATAATTATTAGTAATTTATTTAAATGATGGATATCTGTAATCGTAAACGTGGAGAGATTATTAAGTATATAATAATAAGGAGCTCGAATATAATTTTAAGATAAGGCCCAAAGGATTAATACTAAGTTTTTAGTGGACTAACTTATTATTATAGGATGTTTGTTCTAGGTTGAACGTAGGAATTCTAAGCCCACTGGAAGCCCGATCCTTATTTCTCCTTAGAGTTTTTGTTGTAGCCTATATATAGACTTCTAGGCTCTCTAAACTAGCATCAATTCATTACTCCCATTTTTTAGAGAGGTTGAGAGAGAGAGCAGATGTTCGGAGGTTCTTACAACCCACATTGCATCCCAATTTTTGGCGTTGGAGGATATACAACAGAAGATCGTGAGGTTTAGTGAGCAACTTTCAGTGTCTGTCTTCAGTTTTTGCGTTTGTGTTGAGATGAGATCAATCTAGAGCAATGTGAAAGGTAAACCCTAATTCCGCCTTGTAGGGTTTTAAATAATTTTTTTTTTGTGTTCAATACATTCTCGCTGTCAATGATTCTTAGGATTTTCGTTCCAACACATTGCACATTTAATAGCCCCATTGCATCCATTTTAACTTGTTTTTGTCACTCCTGGGAAGCTATACTAGTCAATACTCCATGTGACTTTTAGTTGAGTACATCAGCTATCACATTTGTCTTGCCGGGATGGTAATGCAAAGTGAAGTCATAATTCTCCAAGTACTTCATCCACATGTGGTGCCTTATATTGAGGTCTGTTATGTGAATATGTACTTCAGACTTTTGTGATCTGAAAACACCTCAAACTGCTGTCCATACAAATAGTGGAGCCATGCCTTCAAGGCAAAGACAACAGTTGTCAACTTCATGCCATGTTTGGGTGTTCGTGGCTCCTTAACCACTGTAAACCATAAGCTACCACCCTCCTAGACTACATGAAAGCACATCCAAGTCCGTCCTTTGAGGCATCATAGTAGATTACGTATCTTTGCCCACTCTCCGAGACAATGAAAATAGGAGATGATGGCTATCATGTGTTCAGCTCCTGCTGGAATCTAACGTCTTTCCTGAGTCATCCCATTGGAATCTAACGTCTTTCCTGGTCAACCTAGTCATAGGTGCAGCTAGCTGTGAGAAGTTCTTAATGAACCTCAGATAATATCTTGCCAATCCTAAGAAATTATATATCTCAAAGACTAACTTAGGCCTCTCCCAACTCATAACTACCTCAACCTTTTCTGGGTCCACTGACACATCTAAATCAAACACCACGTGTCCTCAAAATTTTACCTCCGTCAACCAAAATTCACACTTTCTAAACTTGGCGTACAATTGATGGTTTCTCAAGGTCTGGAGAATGATCCTCAAGTAACAGGTTGGAACACCATATGCATGAGATCCATGAATGTCGTGGGGGAATTCGTCAAATCGAAGGGCATAACAATAAACTCGAAGTGCTCGTATCACTTCTTGAATGCCATCTTAAGGATATTTGCCTCCCTAATCCTCAACTCGAAGCGCCCCCTCTCGGTTGATCAAAAAGGTCATCGATTGTCGATAGTGGGTACTTATTCTTGATGGTAGCCCAATCCAACTACTGGTAGTTAATACATAGCCTAAGGATCCTATCCTTCTTCTTAGCAAACAGCACCAGAGCACCCCAAGGTGAACTACTCGACCTAATAAATCTCTTTTCTAACAATTCTTGGAAGTAGACCTTAAGTTCTTGCAAATGTATAGGTGACATCCTATGCGATGTCATAGAAATAGGGGACGCACTGAGTTGTAACTCAATGGTGAAGTCTACATTCCAATGTGGATACAATCCCAGTAACTCATGGGAAAACACTGCATACTCACAAACTACACGAGGTAGACCCAAGTCCTGTCTCACCTTGCCTCAAGTTCAAGGTTCCCAAGCTAAGCCATCAACTACTCATGCCAATAAGGGTTATATATGACTTGGGATAAAGTGTTATGCTTTCTCCCTAAAGAAGATCGACTGGGCGAGAGCGTCATTCTTCACAATAAGCTGTTGTACGGTGTGAAACAGTGTGAAAGGCGCCTATGGCATGGCTAAAGGCAACGACGAAGTGACTGGCCATAACTAAAGGTGATGCCGGAGTGCCGTGGCGTGGTTGGAGGCATGGGCGGTGTCAATGGAGGTGGTGATGGTGTTGTCCACATAAGGCAAGGAGGCAGCGCCTTAGGCGTAGGCCAGGCATTGGGCACTTGTGCAAGAAGCACATGCGAAGTGTTAAGTGACCTAGCCTCAAGTGGGCAGCTCTCTGGCATTGGTGGAGGTCAGCTAATAGGTGTGCCAAGTAGCAAAGGTAGTGTCTCGGGCTTTGCCTTTTGTCTTGGTAAGGCGATTCTGATTGCCCATTCATTCCTTAGTTGTTTTGTAATTGTGTTGACACTTGATCTTATCTTTCGCTGGTGCCCACTCTGACAAAGGCGTGAAGAAGACTACTACACTAGATTCTCAGCGAGGCAAGGGAATTGCTGAAAGTGACGGCTCGAAGGTAACTTCTATCTTCAGTTCCATAGATTCTGATGGTGACATTACCCACATTGTATCTTCATTCTACATTTCTACTGGCGCTATGTGCTACCAAGCCGAGAAGGATGGGCCAGCATGTTATGACTCATTAGGAGAGATCATTTTCTATGAGGATGTCTTGAAGGATCATTCTCCAGACATAGTAGAGGCTTAACTGCTTTGTGTGTGTGTGTGTGTGTGAGAGAGAGAGAGAGAGTCATGAGAGAAAGAGAGAGACATTATGGTTGTCGTTGGCTTGGGAAGGAGAGAGCACGCCTTGGGTTGTGTGTTGGAATTGGCGGGATTTGGTTTTTGAGTGAGATATATTGCGAGCCTTTTGATTAGAGATGAATGAATTGATTTGAGACCGTTGGATGTTGAAGCCACCCTATTTTATAATATATATACCTTCTTTTTCCCCACATTTTTCTTGTTTTTCTTTCACTTTCGGTTTGGCATGGACTCTCCCCAAGTTCTTGTCTTTCTCCTTCTTTCTTCTCCCTCTCGGTTTGAACTAAAAACGCCCACCAAAGTTTGTTTTCACTTTCCCTCTCTTCCTTGGTCTTGGCTCAAGTAGACACATGTACATACATATTTTCTTCTCCCTCTTTTACACTCCCTCACTCACGATTTCAACAAGACCAGAACACACACACACTTGTTTATCAATTAAACACTTCTACACTTTTTATTACACACACACACATGGCATACACAACACAGCCACTTTAGCCCCCTAAATGACTCACCCATTTCATCTGTATACACATACACATGTAAAGATAACTCATTTAATTGAGTAATTATGTTTGCCCCCCCCCAATCTTTCCTACCTACTTAACCGAGAGCACAATTATTTCAACTCAGAATGATGACGTTTGTTCTATCAATGATGCTGCTCTACGAATTTACCCTGGAGACACCTGTACCTACTTGGTAGCTGACAAGATGTCGAATGGTGACAACCTGAGACGTTCTACTACTAATCAATATCGGAGTGAGTTTTTGAATTCCCGTAAACCCGTTAGGTTTACCACCTTTGAAGCTGGAGCTAAAAGTCGGATACCCCCATCATTTTGTTGAGGAATATACAACAGGACAAGACTTATTGAGACTAGAATTCTAAGTAGTGACAAATCTGGGAATCTATGTTTCATCCCGTGAATATATCTATCGATATGTAGCCGGTATTTAGCCACGGTCCTTCTCCTCCCTCCTGGTGGATCAATAACCATGACAAATATTGTATATATCCAGAGATGTTGTTGGACTCAGTGTAATTATTACAACACTTTTAAATGTAATGTGCCACGTATGACGATAAATTTTGAATGAATATGTCTCTTTGTGGGCATCTGTGTTTGAGTCGTTGAATGAGTATAGACTTCCTGCGTGTTTAACATTACATAGATTGTTATTCAAGCCGGCACGTGAGAGCTTGGTGTTTATACACACACTTTCATGAGCATTATGCGTTGGTTGTCTCCGTAGGCTCGTGGTGTTCATGCCCACAATAGATTTGCAACTAACCAAAAAAAATCTTGTTATTTTGGATGTATTATTTTGGAAAACCTACGATATGGTGGATATATTATGTGTAGTCTAAATACACTTGTGAATTGTTCCTAAAAATACATCGTGCACTCAGGTGTACATATTAGTGGGGTGAAATGGTTATAGCTGGTTCCTATTGTTATGGAAGTAGAGATCGGGCTCGGTACTGGATGGTGTGAAATTGGTTGAAGATTTTGGGTTGATAGTGTATCCAATTTCAATTGAATCAGATTCCAAGGTTGTAGTCGATATTATGAAAGGTGGAGTGTGTCCAGGTTGGAAATAATGGTACCCACTGTGGCAAGAATTTAGTAACTGCAACACCAATGACAGATTCAGTGTTTAAGGAGAAAGATATCCTGCCATAGTTTTTTTAATGTTTTACCTTTTGAGTTCTTTTATTTCGTTGACTTTAGTAACTGTATGTAGCTGTATGTAACTGTCTGTAACTTGGCCATAATTAACAAGAACCGAATTGGGGCTGAAACTGACAGGTTCTTCCCCATGTGTGCGAATGATATAGCCGGTGGAGTGTGGTACAGAAGCTTACACATCAGCTAGTTTGAAATCAAACCTGCGTTATATATCTGCAGGAAGGTTTGGCTCTTCAGTGGGAAAGGAATCCTGAGTGAGTGTCAGAGACCCTATACCCAAGTCATGTGGAATGGGTAGAGTGTAGAGAAGCTTACACATCTGTAGAGAAGTGGCGAGAAAAGTTGAAACAGGCCGGGCTTGGGTATGTGGCGTGAAAAAAAGCATGAAGAAGTGGGCAAAGTTGAAACGGGCATAACTTTGCGCTCGGTGGTCCGTTTGGGGCGAATTTTTTTTTGAAATCGGGTATTTTTTCGAGATCTACGTGAAGCAAACTGCCGTAGGCGGTTTGGTCCCCGAATTTCCCCAAAAAAAGCCTATTTTCCATTGAATTTGAATTTCAATCACAAAATGGTGAAAAAACCAGAATTTCATATGCCATGTTCTATCCGTAGGAAAGGACAATCTTCATTCTGAACTCATGAAATCATAGTTGTCAAGGTACTCTATAAATGCATGGAGAGAACGGTCACGAATGTCGAAGTTAGCACCGCGTTAGTAGTTCTATAAATAATATTTAAGTTGTATTTTTTTCACATAATGAAGAACGGTTGGGAAGGCAGGTAGGCAGGCTGTTTTTTGATTTTTGTACAGCCTAACTAAAGGTGTGAGGTTCAATCCACATTCCACCCATCCACACAATTTTATTTTTTTTTTGTTTTTTGGCCTGGCTGATTGAAGCTAGGTTATTAAAAAACCCGGCCATGCATTAATGCAATTCAGGGACCGAGTAATATAATCTATATAATAAAGTATAATAAAAGATGAAGAAAATAACACCTCAAATTTAATAAGAAATCTAAGAGTGTGTTTGTGGTGACTTTTTAAAAGTACTTTTAGAACTTATACTATTAACATCTCAAATTTATAACTAGTTAAAAAAACAATAGTACCACCACCACCACTGTTGCCGCCTCCTTACCACAAGCATCACCAACACCACAACCGTCGATGTCGCTATTGTCTCCATCTCACCACCACCCCCTGACATTATCGTCGTCCACCGCCGCCACCACCCACCATAATTTTCATCTCAGTCAATGTCACCCACTCCCATCAAACTTACCACCAATCGTTATCGCCCACCACTGTTACCGACCCATATGACACGTACCACCACCACCGCTATTAACCACAACCAATCACCCCTCGTCCACCACCATCATCACGCGGCAAGGCAACAAGGCAACATGGCATGCGGCAAGGCAACAACGCATGCGAAGTAAAACTCATTTTCTTTTGAAATAACCGATCAAAATGCAAACAAATAATTATTAACATTGTGAAAAATAGTTATTATATTTTTTTGTGCAATAAAATAATTATTTATTATTTTTTTAGCAAAAAAATAGGGAAAAATAGTTAAAAATAGTTAAAAATAGAGAAAAATCACGAAAAAATACGAGTAATTATTATTTGTTGAAATTAATTGATTAAAAATAAAAAATAGGAAAAATAGTGGAAAATTGAAACATGATGTTGCTATCCAAGCAAGGTTATGCGGTGTTTTGGGAGAGGAGAGGCATGCGACAAGGGAACAAGGCACGTCGTGTTGCTGTCCAAGCAAGGCCATGCGGTGTTATGGAAGAGGAGAGGCATGCGACAAGGGAACATGGCACGTGACGTTATTATCCAAGCAAGGCCATGCGGTGTATCGGGCAAAGCATCATGGCACGTCATGTTGCTAGTCAAGGGCATGCGGTGGGCAAGGCAACAAGGCATGTGGCACGTGGCACGCGGCAAGGCAACAAGGCAAGTCGGGAAAGCGACAAGGCAACATGGCAAGTCGGCCAAGCGACAAGGCAACATGGCAAGTGGCATGTGGCATGTGGCAAGGCAAGCGGCAAGTGGCACGTGGCAAGGCAACACGGCATGTGACAAGGCAACAAGGCACGCGGCAAGGCAACAAGGCACGCGGCAAGGCAACAAGGCACGCGGCAAGGCAACATGGCAAGTCGGGCAAGGTCTGCGAAAGCCTCTACCCCCCTATAATAGCAATAGGAAGGAAAACCCAAGTGCCACGAACAGACATGCCATGCTCGAGGAGTCATAATGGCACACGGCAGGGCATCTTGGCACACGCGGCAAGGCACTCGACCGGGCATCTTGGCACGCGGCAAGGCACTCGACCGGGCATCTTGGCACGCGGCAACGCACTCGACCGGGCATCTTGGCACGCGGCAAGGCACTCGACCGGGCATCGTGGCACGCGGCAAGGCACCCGACCGGGCATCGTGGCACGCGGCAAGGCACCCGACCGGGCATCTTGGCACGCGGCAAGGCACTCGACCGGGCATCTTGGCACGCGGCAAGGCACTCGACCGGGCATCTTGGCACGCGGCAAGGCACTCGACCGGGCAACTTGGCACGCGGCAAGGCACTCGACCGGGCAACTTGGCACGCGGCAAGGCACTCGACCGGGCAACTTGGCACGCGGCAAGGCACTCGACCGGGCAACTTGGCACGCGGCAAGGCACCCGGGCATCTTGGCACGCGGCAAGGCACTCGACCGGGCAACTTGGCACGCGGCAAGGCACTCGACCGGGCAACTTGGCACGCGGCAAGGCACTCGACCGGGCAATTGGCACGCGGCAAGGCACCCGACCGGGCAACTTGGCACGCGGCAAGGCACCCGACCGGGCATCGTGGCACGCGGCAAGGCACTCGACCGGGCATCTGGGCACGCGGCAAGGCACTCGACCGGGCATCATGGCACGCGGCAAGGCACTCGACCGGGCAACTTGGCACGCGGCAAGGCACTCGACCGGGCAACTTGGCACGCGGCAAGGCACTCGACCGGGCAACTGGCACGCGCCAAGGCACTCGACCGGGCAACTTGGCACGCGCAAGGCACACGACCGGGCAACTTGGCACGCGGCAAGCCACCCGACCGGGCATCGTGGCACGCGGCAAGGCACCCGACCGGGCAACTTGGCACGCGGCAAAGGCACTCGACCGGGCAACTTGGCACGCGGCAAGGCACTCGACCGGGCAACTTGGCACGCGGCAAGGCACCCGACCGGGCAAACTTGGCACGCGGCAAGGCACCCGACCGGGCATCGTGGCACGCGGCAAGGCACTCGACCGGGCAATCTGGCACGCGGAAAGGCACTCCGACCGGGCATCATGGCACGCGGCAAGGCACTCGAACCGGGCAACTTGGCACGCTGGGCAAGGCACTCGACCGGGCATCTTGGCACGCGGCAAGGCACTCGACGGGGCATCGTGCACGCGGCAAGGCACTCGACCGGGCATCGTGGCACGCGGCAAGGCACTCGACCGGGCATCCTTGCACGCGGCAAGGCACTCGACCGGGCAAGTTGGCAAGCGGCAAGGCATCGGGACCGGGGCATCTTGGCACGCGGCAAGGCACTCGACCGGGCATCTTGGCACGCGGCAAGGCACTCGACCGGGCATCCTTGCACGCGGCAAGGCACTCGACCGGGCATCATTGCACGCGGCAAGGGCACTCGACCGGGCAACTTGGCACGCGGCAAGGCACCGAACCCGGGCCATCTTGGCACGCGGCAAGGGCACCCGACCGGGCATCTTGGCACGCGGCAAGGCACCCGACCGGGCATCTTGGCACGCGGCAAGGCACCCGACCGGGCATCTTGGCACGCGGCAAGGCACTCGACCGGGCATCTTGGCACGCGGCAAGGCACTCGACCGGGCATCGTGGCACGCGCCAAGGCACTCGACCGGGCAACTTGGCACGCTCCAAGGCACTCGACCGGGCATCTTGGCACGCGCCAACGCACTCGACCGGGCAACTGGCACGCGCCAAGGCACTCGACCGGGCATCATGGCAGCGGCAAGGCACTCGACCGGGCATCATGGCACGCGGCAAGGCACTCGACCGGGGCATTCTTGGCACGGGGCAAGGCACTCGCCCGGGCATCTTGGCACTTGGTCAAGGCATCATGGCACGCGGCAAGGCACTCGAGGGGCAACTTGGCAGCCTGGGACTACGCTGCGACATGGAAGCAAGGCATGCAAGGCGAAGGGGAACATCTGTGCACGACGGGATGGGAACTTGTCACGAAACCAAGGCTCGCTACGTCGAGGTCCGAACATCCAATTAGAAACGGAGGAATGGTTAAGGATGGATGGGGAGGGACGAATCGAAGCGACAAAAGGGCTGAATCTCAGTGGATCGTGGCAGCAAGCCACTCTGCCACTTACAATACCCCGTCGCGTATTTAAGTCGTCTGCAAAGGATTCTACCC